TATTATATTATTTCTTTGATTATTTCTTCTCCACTTTCTCTGTTCTTTTTACTAGAATTCATATTAGATCAGTGGTTTTCAACAGGGTCAGTTTTGCCCCCAAGAGGATGCTTAATGATATCTGGAGACAGTTTTGGTTGTCTTAAGTGGGGAGTGCTACTGGCATCTCATGGGCAGAGGCCAGGGTTGCTGTTAAAACATCCTACAATGTACAGGGCCACCCTTTACAACAAAGAATTACCCAGCCTGAAATGTCAGTGGTACCGAGGTGGAGGAACTGTGTTGAACCAAATGTTGGCCCTGTGCTCCTGATTTCTCTTTGCTTTATTTCATCACAGAACTTGTCGTTATCACCATCTATTTTGTTAATTTATCTGCTTGTTTACTGTCTGTCACTCCCGAACTAGAACTTGTCTGAGAGCAGGAATCTCATCCATCTTGGTAAACCACCTATTATCAGTGCTTAAACTACATCCAGGATTAGTTGGGCGCTCCTTAGAGCTTTGTAGAATGAATAAATAGATAGAGAATGATTTCTACGTCTTCTAAATGTATTCTGTCTCTTTGTTTGTCACTTTAAGTTGTAGAGAATTTCCTAGATTGTATCTTTCAGGTTATTAAATCAGATTTTGCCATGTTTATTCTACTATTTAGCCTTTCTGTTTAGTTTTTTTTTTTTAAATATAATCATACATTATATTTTAATGTCTAGAGCTCTTTTTTTATGTGTCCTGGTTCATTCTTTTTCATAATTGTTGTTTTATGGATTATTTACCCTTTAGTACATGTGAGGATAAATATTAGAATTTTTCAAATTTGCTCTTTTGTTTTCAAATTTGCCCTGAATTCTTTTTCTTCTCAGCTATTCTGTTAGTTCTCATTGATCCTTCTTTTTCATGCTGTTGGTTTTTCTCAACTACATTGACTGTTGGTTCATAGTACTGAATGAATAACTGGGTCTTTTAGTGTAGACAGCAAACCTATGTTTCCTTTTCAAGTGCAAGGTCCTTTCTCCCTATGACCCTCCCTGCATCTGCCCTATCAGGGGGCTGCCTGGAGAGATGACATAGATGGGGTGACAGCAGGAGATTTAACTTGAGGCCTGTGAGCACTGTATAAGCTTTTAAGCTGCAGTCCTCCCTATAAAGTCTCTCCAAATGCCAGAACTGGCAGAGTTTTATCCTGGTTGGAAGATGAATCCAGCTTATTTCTCTGATGGGTGGAACTGCCCTCCGTGTCTATCTCTTTCCATGTCTGCCATGGCGATTATTTCAGTATTACTTCAAGTTCCTCTTCTCTCCCAGTCCCTCCAGGCATCTTCCCCTGGTAGAAACTTGCTTTTGCTGGAGCACAGTTCTTTGGCTTGAGGTCAAATTCACAAATACAATGCTGCTGCTCAACGTTAGAGGGTGGACAGAAGAGGCTGAGAGTCTTGCAGTTCAGAGTCAGTGATTTCCTCTCAGCAGCAATGCATGAGGGTGCCTACATCTTCACCAGCACTCATCATTAAGCACCTTGGAGTCTTTTGCTAGTCTGATGGGTTTAAACTGGGGGGTCTCTCAATGTTGGTTTAATTTGTGTTTCTTTCATTAATAATGAGTTTGAATAGCTCTTTGTAGCTTTGTTTTTTTTCCCCCTGTGAATTAGCTATTTATATCCTTTCCCATTTCCTCATATTGGATTTCCTCTCTTTTTCTTATTGATTTTCAAGAGTTTATTTATACTTCAGATATTAGATCCTTGTCAGTTTTCTGTATGACAAGCATCCTCTTTTGTCCTTACTTATAGTATAAACAAGTGAACAAAATTTTTTTTCGATTAAATCCACTAATTTTTTCATCTTAACTTTTATGCTTTTGAGATCTTGTTTAAGAGGTTGTCCCCTGTTCCAGCATCACAGGAATATTTCTGCATTTTCTATTCTTAGTGTAACTTCTTCATTTAGGACTTTGATCCATCTGGAATCCACCTTTGTGAATGGTGTAAACTGGGATCCAGTTTAATTTTTTCCACATTATTATCCAGCTCTATTTCCCCTGTTTATTATTTATCAGGTTCCTGTATATACCCGGGTCTCTCTCTATACACCTTTTCCGTTCCATTGGTTTATTGTTCTGTTCTTGGAGCAAACTGTATAATTACAGCTTTGTAGTGTAGTCTGTTTTGGTAGCTGGGCTGCATAACAAAGTACCACAGAGTGAATGGATTAAACAACAGAAATTATCTCTGTTTACTCACCATCTTCCCTCTGTGTGTCCTAATTTATTCTTCTTACAGGAACACCAACTATATTGGATTAGATCCCACCCTAGTGACCTCATTTCAAGTTAATTACCTGTTCAAAGAGGTCTGTCTCTATCTCCAAATACAGTCTCATTCTCAGGCACCACAAGTTAGGACTTCAACATATGAATTCTAGGGGCACATGATCCAGTTATAACAATGTCTTAATATCTAATATAGCAATATTAGATATTGTCTTGGCTATTTATGGATCTTTATTTTTTCATAAATATTTTGTAATATATTTGGTTCATATCCTTTAAAAATAACCCAGTTTGAATTTTTCTTTAGATTGCATTGTATTTGTGAATTAATTTGAAAAAGATTGATACTTTTATAATGTTAATTCAAACCCATCTAAGAGCCTGGGATATTTAATTTTTAAATTTATTTAGATATTCTTTTTTCTACTTTAATAACAGTTTGAATTTTTTCTTCATGGAGACCTTTGAATTCTTTGCTAAGGTATTTCCTGGCTACATTACATTTCTGGTTGCCATTGTGAATGGTAATTTATTTTCTATCACATTTGCTAGTTGAATTTTGCTAGGAATGCCATTGATTCTTGTAAGTTGATTTTGTATCTGACAACCTTGTTAAACTTCTATTAGTTTGCCTATTTTTATTTTTTCTAAATGGCTTATTGACTGTAAATTATGATAGTTTTATCTTTTTTTAAATCCTTATACATTTTATTTATTTTTCTTGTCTTACAGCACTGACTAGTGTAACTAATACTATGTAACAGTGTATTGGGTGGTGTGAATCTTTGTTTTGTTCCTAGTATTAGTTATCTATTGCTCTGTAACAAATTACTTCAAAATGTAGTCTTAAAACAACAGTGCACATTTATTGTCTTACACAGTCTCTGTAGGTCAAGAATTCAGGATTAGCATAGCTTGGTGGTTTTGACTGAGATCTCTGCTGAAGTTGAGGTCAGTATGTCATCTGGGGCTGCAGTCATCTGAAGGCTTGACTAAAGCTGTAGGATCTGCTTCAGAGGTGACCAGTTCACATGGCTGTTTGTAGGAGGCCTCAGAGCCTCTCCATGTAGGCTTCTCCGTAGCTTGAATGTCTTCAAGACATGGCAGTTAGCTGCCCACAAAGAGAGTGATCCAAGGCAGGGTGATCAACAACAGAGCAAGGCGAAAGCCTCAATGTCTTTTATAACCTAGTCTTGGAATTCACACTCCATCATTTACACAATATCCTATTGGTCACATAAGTCGGCCCTACTGAATGTGATAGGGGACTACATGACAGTATGAATATTAGGAGGTGGGGTCATCTGGCTAGTCTTAAAGAGAATGGTTCTAAATGTTTCTGTTAAAAATGATGTTTGTTGTAAATCTTGGATATATGGCTTTTATCAAATTAAGTAAGTTCCCTTCTATTCCTGGATTGTAGAGAGATCTTGTCTTTTAATGATTTAAAAAAAACGAAGACAGTAAGAAGTGGGTGGAACAGCAGCCTCACAAGCAAATTATATGTGACAAGACTGCAGAGACAGAGTCACTTTGGATCTCTCTCCCAGTCCTATGTGATAAGTAAGAGGCATGGGCCCAACACAAGCCCTTTGTGGCTGAAGAACTCTGGAAAACAGCCTTTTCTGCCTTGAGGGAATTGTCACAGCCATTTGTTTTTTTCTTTTTCCTTGCAGTGCCCAAGACAAAGATTTTGGCCACTGGAGGGGCGTCTCACAACAGAGACATCTTACAGGTAAGTGCTGGTAGCAGGCCCTGCACTGGGACCTCTTCTATACCTGTTACTTCTCAGAGTCAGACATTTGACAATAAGGACTGCCTTTTTTCCCAGTACTGCAGGGATGGGGAGCTTACAGCTTGTCCTCTACCAGGAAGCCAACTCTGTTGTTTAACAGTTCACGTTGAGAGCAGGTTCTGTCTTATACACAGATGAAATCCACTGCCCTTATAACTCCACTCTCTGATACCAGCACGGGCCTCTGGAGTCACACAGAAAGTGCCTGTCCCACATGGCAAACCTTCTGACATCAAACGCCACTGTTCTTGTCTTCCTAAAAGTTTCTCCCTTTCAATTTAATGACCTCTGATTTCCCCAGCCATTTCTCTTGTAATGCTTTGTCACTGTCTTTCTGGTCCTTCATTATGTTAGAAATATATGACCAAAAGTGGACTCAACCTGCAAATGTCTAACAATCAGACTATTACATCTTGGGGCTGTCGGGGTCTTATTGGGACACTGAGTATTTTTGGATGTAGACTGCCTTAGCTGTTTGAATAACTGCATCAACTCTTGACTTATAAAATACCTGTCTTAGGTAAGATTCTCTAGAAGCAGAGTCTGAAATTTTTAAAAATATAAAGGATTTGTTGAGAGAGTTTTTCAGGGAGAAAGGGAGTGAAGGATGCAGCAGGGCATGGGGAGAAAGACAAGCAAGGATGTGGTTTTGGCTGCAGTCGGTTTCAGCTTCATCCCATGGGGAGATCTGGAACATGAAATATTCCACAAGCTTGGTTCCACCTTGTGGTAGGGGGTCTAACTTGTTGCCCTGGGGAGAGGTGAAAATAACCTTGTGAGAGGCAGCTCTGTTCAACTGAGAGCAGTTCTTTTGAGGAGGGGCAACTGTGAGCCATTAGTGGCCAAAACTCAGAGCATCTGGAAAGGGGTGCACACTGGTCCCATCAGGGGATCCAGATGGGGCATCAACAGCATCTGCTACAATATTTCTGGTCAACTAAAACCCCTTTCCCCTAAGTATTTGTCACATGAGCTCCTCTTAGTAAACATCCTCCACTCTAAATTTATGCAATTTATTTTTGGGACCTAAATGGAAAGTTTTATCTTTATCCCTGTAAAACATGCCTTTGTTAGTTGAGTTTGTTCAGGATTGTTAACATTAATCTGATACCCAGCAGTCTCCACCTTGACTGTTTGCTAAGCATACTTCTTGCATCGTCCTCCTTGTCTTTGATGAAATGGTTAAACAGTACAGGGACAACCTGGAAAGCTGTGGCTCTCCACTAGAGTCTTCCCTCAGGTCATCCTGACCCTGTTATCACCAGGGCAGCATGGCCAAGTGTACATCCTTTAAGGCAGTAGAGGTGGAATGAAAGGCATTGGAAGAGTTATGAGGAGAGAGAGCCTGGAAAATGCTTGTCCAAATGTCCGTGTGTCCTCTGACAAACCACTCCCCACAGTGAACCTCTGTTGTTTTCCAGGTGCTTGCGGATGTGTTTTGTGCTCCGGTGTATGTCATAGACACTGCCAACTCAGCCTGCGTGGGCTCTGCTTACCAAGCTTTCCATGGTAGGTCGATGGATGGGTGACAGGTGCCTCTGGAAGAGATTGGGGCACTGGCTGGGCTGAGGATTATGGAAAGAGGAGATTAGGATGTTACCAGTTTTCAGGAACACTGGAGTCTTGAGGGCTGTAGCTTCGTTTTTCTCCCTCTCAGCACACAAGAACCACCCCAAATGCACTGTTCCTTTATTCTCTACTTAAAGTGGGGAAAGAGGTACGATCCTAATTGAATGAGGCCTGGTCAGAGGCAGACTCAGCACAGGGACATTGGGAAAGGACATAGGGCATGCTGAAGGCATGCAGACTTGGGTCTGGACAACTGGTGGGCAAGAGAGATGGATAAAGTCCAGAGCCATCTTTTCAGTAAAGAGCAGAAAGTTGAGACAAAGGTGAATGCTGCAGAGCCCAGAAGTTCAGGACCCTGGACAGCTCCGCAGGCCCCATTGCTCTGAAGGAGGCCTGGCTAAAACTCCAAATAGTGACGGCTTCTCTCTCATCCAGGCAAGTTCTGGCAGGAGCAGCACGTGCTCACAGGGCTATTCTTCCTCCCATTTGGTCAGTTTGCTCAGGCTGCTCCTCCGGGCCACTCATGCACCCCAAGGGCTTTGCCTTTTTCCTCTAAAGGTTTCATTCTTCACACGTTAATGGTTAACTTTTTAACACACCTATTAAACATATTTCTCTATCAACATTGAGACAATCATGGGCCATATCCTTCTCTTAATAATTAACCTCTTTTTTATTCTTCTTTCATACACTATTCACCTCACCCCATCTAATGTTATCTCCTATACCAAGATCATTGGGTGGCAATTTATTTCCATATTGTTACGTTTTTAATTAAGCTTTACCTCATATTGGATTTTACTTGCACTTATGAGTTTTCTTTCTTTTTAATTTTTCTAACTCCTTTCAGTTTCTTTCTCTTTCTTCGTTCAGCGCTAGTTTTGTTGGAATATACAACCTAAATACATGTTTAAGAGGGAATTCAGTAGGCGATAATTTCCTGAGACTTTACGTGTCCAGCAAGGGCTTTGTTTTGTCCTCCCGAACGAAGAGTGTTACCTTGGCTGAGCAGAGGACTCTTAAGTTCAAAATACTTTTCCTCAGAACTTTGAAGACACTTCCATAATCTTCCGGCCTTCACTGTTGCCTGTGAAAAGCCTGAGGTCCGCTTCTCACTCTTCCTTCTGCTGAAGCAGGAACGGGACGACCCTTTAGGCTCTCACTGCTACGCTCCACTGCTTTTCTTTCACATTTTTCCTTTTCTGTGCCTATTTAGTTGCCACAGGTTATCTGGGGTACTGCCCTACTCTGTCCCCCAAAACCAGAGCCTGAGCTAAGTCCTAGCACACCGGTTCCTGCCCGAGATCTATCAGTCACCGTTCTCCCCAGCTGGGTCCAGGGATGACTCTCACACACAGCCAGTCTGTGAATGAGTGGAGAGGGACCGTAGTCTCTTGATTAATTTCTGCTGGCCACCCCACCACTCATCCCATTTTCTCATCCGTACAACTCTGAGCTGGAACATTCCAGCATTTGGTTAGAAGTCTCGGTCTCATCTCTTCAGCGGGCCCCCCTTCACTCTTGGTAGTGCATTTTCCTGTCGATCTGATACTACTCCTTAAATCGCCTAGAAATTGCTCACTGTTTCTTGCCCACCTATGGCAGCCTTCCCTCTTTTCCAGCCTTGCCACTCATTTGCTTGGTGAATATTTATTGGGTGCTTTCTGTATGCTGGCTGTGTGCTGGACATCAGGGCTCTAGCGGAGACCCAGACCTAGTCCCTGGCCTCGAAGAGCTGGTTCAGCAAGGCTGGAACCTTCAACAGACCTGTGGCCAGAAATTGTGAGAAGGGCTCTGAGGAAAGCGGATGGTGTTTGGTGGTGGGAGACGGGGTGGAAGATTAGGGAGCATCCCTAACCACTGATGTTCTTAGCTGCAGCTTATCTGAAGAGAAGAGAAGAGGTATGTGGAAAGGGAAGAGAAGAACAATGAGAGGACAATGAAAAGGCCCTGAGGCAGGAGGAATTGAAAGATGCCTGGGGTGGGAAAAGGGAGCAAAGTGAGCAAAGAGAGGCAGGTGGACCTTCTCTTTCTGTCGGATGTCAGGGGGCAGCCGCCAGTTCCATGACAGGCGCTTTCGGTGAGCAAGACAAACTAGGCCCTGTTTAAGAGTCCTGAACGTGAATTCTTTCTTTTCTCTCTCTTTTTTTAATGGTTTTATTGAGGCATAATTCATATGACATAAAAATCGCCCAATTTTAAGCATGCAATTTAGCGATTCTTAGTAAATTCACTGAGTCGCGCGACCATCACGATAATCTAGTTTCAGAACATTTTATCACCCCGGAGATGAAACGCCATTTCCGGTTAATGTCCTCATTTGCGACATGCACTGCTATAAAATGAGATTTCCCTTCTAGGCCTTGCGGCCGGGGCAGGCGTGCCCTTCCAAGAGGTCGTGAAGTTAGCCCCCAAACCCAGATTAGCTGCTACTCCAACCCCAGGAGCTTCTCAGGTAAGAGACCATCAGAATTTGGTCAGAGCATTTGCATTTTTTCCAAAAGGTAAGTAAGTTTTTCTTTGGCACCTTTATTAAAGTCGACGTGCTCAACTAAAGGGGAAAAGAAGCCAACTGAGATTCACAGATAAACTGCTGATTCTACAGCCCCAGGGGTTGGGTGTTTTGCTAGGCATGTCTTCATTGCTCCGTATGTCTCAGAGTGGTCTTTTCCATTTCACCGGGTAACAAAAGCCACTGAAAAATGGTCACTTAAGCACAAGGCATGCTGGGTTTCTAGCACTCAAATCCAAAGTCTGGGTCCAAGACAGCTGTGCAGTCCATTGGGCCAGGAAATCCCTGTGAAGGCAGCCCCTAATTGTTACTGATTGGGAAAGTGGACTTGGAGATGTCAATTAGGATGCAGGAGATTTATGAGGGGGTGCTCATGGGATCTACGTCTATGGGAGGGTAAAGGAGGTCACCGGGCTGGGCAGAAGGAGGAGGTGAGCTGCAGTGTAGTCTCAATGGAGCCCTCGGCCAGTCCTATAGGGAATTCTGAAGCTGGGATGACCCTTCAGAGTTGTACCGAGTTGGGATGCGGGCCCCATGTCAGTCAGTTGTTGCATGCAGGCTGCAAGGCACCCCAAGATGGGGTAAGCTCTCTATAGCCGAGGCAGCTCCCAAAGTGGTTGTCAGCTGAGGGCTGGGAGGATAAGTTCTCCATTCTCAAAGGGCGATGTGGGTGGCATGCCACAGCATCTGCCACACCACTGTTTCTGCTGCAGAAGGTTCTTGGTAGCCCAGGAGCAGGGGTGGCACAGACAGCGCTTTCATGGTCCAGGAGGCAGCGTGTGCTTCATGCTTGCCTCAGATTTATTTCCTCGGCTCTGACATGCCATGGGGTGATGTGGAGCGGGGCCAAGTGGGTACTGCGTACACACTATGTCTGTGTCACAACAGAGAGACCTTGAGCTTAGAAACCCCCAACCATATAAAGGACCTGCAAGCAAACCTGCCCAACCCTTGCCCCCAGAGGAGGCACTCTCTATCTTCTAAGGCTGTTAATACAAACACCCTTGAAAAGGTAATCTGGAACAAAAGCTGTCACAAAACATGTAGAAACACCATGGAGAATTGTTCCCAGCATATCTTAGAAGCAGAAGTTCATGCTTTCCAGGTGACTAGATAACCCCCACACATAGGTGTGCCCGAGTTTCTATTATTTTGTCATGTATCCTTATGTTTAAGAGACAGCTCAGTGCAGTAGAAAGATCCTGCATTGAGATAAAGGGCCTTTGGTTTCTGAACTTACTTTGCCTCTCCCTCACTATCTAACCTTCACGTGACCTTGAGCAGCACTCCTCATCTCTGAACCTTTGGTTCTTCATCTGTGAAGTGGGGACATCTCTTCTGCTTACTTTTAACTTCCCAGTTGTGAGGTTTTAAAAGAACCCTGGACTATAATGGCTTTATTATATAATGGGAGGTCTGAAGGTAGTCGCCACTGTTGGTTCAACAGTGTCAGGCCTCCAGGTCATGCTCTCTGAAGTTCTCCAGATCAGCCACGGACAGTGGGAACATCATGAGAGCCACATATCTCATTTCAAATTTCCTAGTAGTTTCTTTCATTTTTTAAAAAAGTAAAAAGAAATAAGTGACTACTTCGAATAACATATTTTATGTAATCCAGTATATCCAAAATATTGTCATTTCAACATGTAATCAGTAAGAAAAATTGCTAATGTGACATTTTACTTTTTAAATTTTTTGGGCATCTGAAGCTTTTGAAATCTGGTGTGTACTTAGAACACTGGTTATGCTGTACTTAAAGGCACCTATGGCTACCATAATGGATAGTGCAGCTCTAGACAGGCTCCAGATGGGCACAGGATGTCTGTGGCTGCTCCAAACATCATGCCCCCTCCACAACTGTATTCATAGGCAGGAATCAAAGCATGGCATGGGGCAGGGAGTCTCTCCTCACTCATGTCTTGCTTATCAGGGAGAAACATCACAGTCTATTTCCTTCAATTCCCCCAACAGACTACCACTTAATATGGTCAGCCTTGGTTGTACGAAAGGCTGGGGCAGGATCTTGCTCTTTCATCTTCTCTGGAAGAAGGCCAGGAAGGAAGAAGGTAGTTCAGGAAAGCTTTAGGGAAACAAACAGCTGTGTCTGCTTCATTACAGGTAGCAAATACTTAGTGTGTGTACCGCCACTGTCCCTGGCTTGCCCATGGCCAGTCACTAATATCTCGTACCAATCTACCATTAAACCCAAGTGTAACCTCGGAATCGTTCTCAGCACCAGGTTGCAAGCAGTGGCAAGTATATGATTGTTGGCATAAGTGACCTATTTGAAAGCTGGATTGTAAATTTTTCGAGAGCCGGTGGCATCCTCCTTTCTCTCCACGGCACCTACAGCAGTGCTGTGCTCAAATGGAAACTCAACATTGAAAGTGTTTTCTCTCTGCTCTGCTGCATATTGTAGTTTCCTCCTTGGAGAGGAAATCAAAGCCCCCTTTATGCTCACAGATAGAGCTGCTGTAGCTACACCAAGAGTAGGCCCTAGTTGCATGATCAGTTACTAAAATACTTGACTTTGGAGCGAATTAAGCCAAATAAGAAGGAATAGGATTTTTTAAAAAAAGAATGAAGGGTAAGAATGTAGGGTTGTGTTTCTTAGTAGTCCTTTTTCCCCTCGTTATTTTTGGTTTTGGTTTATTACATAGCATACTATATATATAGTTTTGTAGCCCACCTCTTTTAAAATTCTGTGTTACATCTTAAGTATTTACATTCTTTAAAATGCACATACACATTATTATGTTTTTTTAAACTTATTTATTTAAATTAGTTTCAAGTATACAGTACATTGGTTAGACATCTATATAGTTCTGAAACGATCCCCCCAATGGCCCCCTCCCTCCCCTGGCCCTCCACCTAGCCAACGTATTAATGCTAACTGCATTCCCCCTGCCGTGCTCCCCATCCCTATGACCAACTATCAACTACTAATTTGTACTTCTTCAACCCTTTGCCCCATTCTCCAGCCCCCCAAAACCCTCCCCTCTGTCCGTCACCAAATTGTCCACTTTTTTTGACATACACATTTTTAATGACCGCATAATATTCTATCCGTCTAGTGAACCATTATTTACTTGAGCATTTTCCATGTCTTAGAGTAATTGCTTCTAGTTTTTTTCTTTTTTTTCTTTGTTACTTCTAGTTTTTCAATTATTATTATTAACCCTGTGTAAACAAAGGGTTAACAGAATCTTTTCCTATTCTGTTAACTTTCTAGCTCTGTTTCTTGTGAGACTTAATAAAACGGGATGTCAACAACGTTACTAGGCAACATCGCTTATGTAAACGTGGCCTTTAATTGGGAAACTGCAGCTGACCGTGAGGGGACCATAAATTCCTGTGGGAAGTCATACTTAGAGCTTCCCTGAGTGCAGTGACTTCTCATGGGCATGTCTCTTGCCTATAGAGTTGTTACAAGAGATAGTCCTGTGGGACATGAGGTTTCAAAGCCAGGGTGGTTCTTGTACCTGTTCTGTGTGGATATCATCTCCTTGCACCTGAGCTATAACCTGGGGGCAGGAGGAGCAGAGAGGGGAGAAGGCAGGAAGGCTAAGAAACCCTTTTCTGGACACCTGTGCAAACTGCTCTGTGGCCCACTGTGTGGTCTCCTGTTGAAGAGCACCTGCAGCCACTGTGCCAACAGGTATGTTCCTCCAGTGTATCCTCTTGGGAGACAAGGTGGGGCCCCTCGTTGTCTTATGAGTTTGAATGTTTCGTGGTGTCTAAGAAGATACTTCGTGGGCCTGGCACCCTCCGTTTAGGATTAGTTCCTTAGAAGAGTTTTGCAGAAGTAGAGTAACTGGGTCAAAGGCTATTTCAAGCTCCTTGATACAGATGTAAATAAAGTCCATTTGATTTTCACAAGAGTTACACCACCAACTTCCACCGGCTGTGCAATGAGAACCATTTCCAGGTACCTCCACCAGAGTTTTTTTTTTTTTTTTTCCACCAGAGTTTTTAATTTTGTAGATTTGAAAACAAAAATTGGCTTCTTGTCATAATTTTTATTTTTAAATAATCTTTATCGGTCGGATTGAGAACTACTAGCATTTCTTTTGTGTATGTGAGTTGACACTTCTTTTGCCTAGCAAAAAAAAAAAAAGAAGAAATTAAATTGTAGATAAATGGGATGTAACAATTTTTAAATTGCAAGTTGCAAAGAGATGGAAGAGGCACCTCCCCCTCTCCATTCTAAACTGCTCTTTTCGCCCTTCCAGGTCTATGCTGCCCTCCTCCCAAGGTATGCCCAGCTTGAGCAGAGAATCGTGTCCCAGACTCAGGGGCTTCTGGAGTGAATTCTGCAGGCCCTGGAGCCCCTGTTGACCCTGCCTGCCCAGACTCTGCTGATCTCACTTGGGGACGTGGCCCTGGACAGCGGGGATCCTCTTCCCTTTTACAGTGGCTCTGCCTGCCACCTGACTCCGGCTGTGCTCCAGTCCTGCCAGGGACCATCTTGAAGCCTGCCTTAGTATATCTTTCTGAATATAAATGGGCTGCTTGTGTCCCTGTGCCCTTGTGCCCGGGGCAGGAAAGCATCTTTCTTTTCCTATCTTTATTCCAAAAGATAGGCTAATACTGAATCTAGATATCACCAATAAAAATTATGATTTTTTCCTTTTCAAAGGAAGAAGTAAAGCTAATACAGGGACTTACATCAGCAGAATGGGGGAGACAAAGCCATCCCCCTTCCTCTGTCCCCAGCCTATTCCCTTCTCCAGCCTTGACTCTGGCTACTCCTTCCCAAGCCCTAACCCACAGCCACCCCACCCCATACCTGGACCCCACTGTCCATCCTTTCCCCCAACTCTGACTTCCTCAGCCCTACCGCCCCCCTCCGCCCCCCCAGCCTCCCTCTCCTTTCACTTCACTTGCTAAAAACATTGAGTCATTTATCCAGGACAATTTCCCAAACTCTGGGTTTTGTTGATTCAATCCCTGAGGTGTCATTTAACATGTTCTGTATCTTCTATATTTCCTATAAATTGGTATTTGGATCTAATACAGGGTTTCTCAACCTCAGCACTATTGACATTTTGGCCTAGATACTTTTTTGTTGTGTAGGGCCACCCATTAGATGCCAGTATCACCCCCTCCCCAAGTCGTGACAGTCAGAAATGACTCTGGGCATTGCCACATATCCCCTAGTTGAGGGGAGGGAGCAAAATTGCCCCTTATTGATAACCACTCACCTAGAGGCATGATCAGATGCATATATGATTATTTTCCTTTTTATGTAAGACAGCTTCGTAGATGGTGTCGTGTTGTGCTTTTTTGGTCAGGAGGCACGTACGTCTGGTTTTCTCTCTTTTCTGTGATGTTCATGCCTAGCTCCATTAGTTTACCAGGGATACAATTGTGTTATCCCTCTTTATTTATAAGCTGGGATTCTTCTACATGAAAAACATCCCTGTTTAGTTATCCAACAATCTTGTTTACATAGGAGAGGCAGAATAAATAGATTCTTTCCTCTTTATTCACCAGTTTTCAGAATAATGAGTTGATTTTCGAGCATTCTCTAACAGCAACCAGATTTTTATTTTTAGTCTCAATATGATACACTTAACATATTTTGTGTGTTCTCATCCATTACATTAATTATTCTTAGCCTTGTCTTCTTGTTGAGAGCCATTGTCTCCAACTTTTCTGTGCTTTCCTCATCTCTCATTCATTCTTGCTTCTTCACTGATAGTTCTGCTCTTTCTACTCCTTAATTATTTCTGGGCCCCAATCTCTGTCTTCATCAGTCTTTCCTTCCCATTCTTTCCTATCTTGTTGAACGATTTTATCTATTCTTGGGCTTCAGTTACTACTTATATATCAGTAGCAGCAAGATCTACATTTCCAGCCAGAACTCTCCTTGGAGTCTACCATCATTATCTTCAGTCTCCACTTATCTTCCCTTTGCCTTCGCCAACCCCCCTCCAGAGTTCCTGTTTCAGTGAATTGGTACCATCATTCATCCATCCATTCATTCATTCAGGACCCCAAACCCAAAACTCAGATATCCTCCCTCTTTCCCATGTCAAATCAGTCACCAAGTGATTTTGGTTATTCCTAAAGCAGTTTCTTTCTCTCAGTCCCTCCTGTTTTACTTTAGACCCCTTTATTCCTTGCTCAAATTATCACAAAAGCCTCTATAGAAAGTCCTCTGTGATCTGCCTCCTGCAAAATCCACCAGATTTTTCTTCTGCCACAGGCCCTTGCCTAAGTTGGGACTTCAGTTAAATCAAACTGCTTATGGCTTCCCCAGAGTCGAAAATGCTGCAAACAGGTCTGGGACCTGGTGGATCAGAGCAGTGGCTAGTGCAAAGTCAAAAGGAAGGAGTTTAGGAAATGAGTGGGACCAACGAGGTGAAGTCATCTTAAAAGAGAGGTGTCCTTTGCAGGCTTGGTGGGTGAAGGGAAAAAAGGAAGCAAGAAGCCGAAGATGATGGTCTATCAACAGCAGGTCAAAGACTCAGAAGAAAATGGACAACCTCTCTCCCACCCATAACCACCTAGACATTACTTATTAAAGAAATTTTACATTATTGGCCAACAGAAAAGCACCCTCTCAGACCAAGAAAGAGAGAAAGCCACTCAATTCATTCCACATTTTACCTCTGCCCCATAGAGTTGCCTGTTTTTGCAAGTGTGTCAACATAAATGGAAAAAGGAACTCACCATCTACACAGATATAGGAAGAAAACAGAGGGAGAATCATAACTTTTCAAGCTGATGAAATACTCCAAAGAAAAAAGGGACAAAGAGCAAACAACCCTTGAAGATGAATTTTAAAGTAAAAAACAATTGTGAATATGAAAGAATACCACAGATGAGAAGTTCAGAAACTCAGAATAAAAATGAAAAAGTGACAGACATAGATGAAAAGGAAACTGACCAAACAGGAAAGAGTTTGAACATGCAAATACAGTAAAGCATACAGAAGAATGAAAAAAGCTAAGACTACATAAATGATATAAAGGAAGAGCTAAGAAGGGCCAGAAAGAATTAAGTAAAAAGACAGGCAAAGAAAGACTAACATGGGTAAAATTGGAGTTCCTGAAGACAAAAGATAAGACAACGGGACAGTTAATATTTAAAACTGTACCCCCAAGAGAAATTTCTGTAAAAATAGAAGACCTGGATCTATATCCTGAAAGGGCCTATCTTGTTACATGGAAAATTGTCCTAGAATGATCAACTAAGAAGAATCCTAGTCAACTGCGAATACTTTGAAGGTGAGGAAAAAATTCTAGGCCAAAAGACTTAGTCTTTTGCAAAGGAAAAATCAGATTGGCATCAGAGTTTTCAAAAAGCAAATAGCAATGGAGCAACATTTTCAAGAAACTCGAAAAATATGAACTAAGCGTATCAAAGATATGCTTTATATTGTTTATGTGGTCTTAGCTTTTTTCATTTTCATTTTTATTCTGAGTTTCTGAACTTCTCATCTGTGGTATTCTTTCAGCAAAAAGACTTGTGGCGAGTATTAAAATCTTTAATTTTAGATCTAAGACCAAAATGAAAGTAGGATAAGGGTGGAACAATAGCATCAAATAGTATATGCTTTGACAAGGTAGAACAACACAATTAAATGAATGGAGAGAGGGGGAGGACAGTACAAAGGCAATAGATGCCAGTCAATATCACTTAAAGTTGACAGACCAAATAGTTGAGGCTTAAATAGGAAAAAGGAAGACAAAGAATAAAGGTCATAGTATAGTATAAAGATAATCATTAGGATAAAAATAAGCTCCCTCAATGCTCAAACAGACAATAATAAAGGCAATAAGTCACACAGTGAAAAATATGCGGTAAACGAAGCATCATAAAGCAAATATAAGGACAAACATGAGTCAAATTAGCAAATGGAAGGACTCATCTATTAAAGTTCAGATTGGCTCACAAACCAGTATCTTATTGTCTGTTATTTCCAAGAGACACATTTAAAATAAATGATTCAAAAGGCTAAAAAGTAAAAGGGTAGGCAACAATATACCAGGCAAATACAAATTATATAAAGCCGATTATAATATCAACATCTGGCAAGGTAGAATTCAGGAAGAAATTAGACACAACAAAGAACATTATAATGTTAAAAGCTGCAAAATAGAAACAATACAACCTTTAATCACAATGCAATAAAATGAGAATTAAATTTTTTTTAAGTCTCACCTGGAAAAGACTTTGTATGGAAATACTCTTGGGGCAAATGGGAAATATAAACCCAAATTTCAGAGCTTCTGGAAAATGATTGATAGAGTTTAAAGCAATAGTAGATGAAATATAGCTTAAAATACTGTTGACACTGATAAATACGAGAATAGTTACTTAAAATACAACTCAAGCAAATAGTGAACAGAAGAAAGACATAAGTAATGAAGACTCACATTTAAGGATTATTTTGTATAGCTGCAAAAAAATTTGAAAAACTAGATGAAATGGTAATGACCTATGGAAATATACCAAAAAGACTCCAGTAGAGAGGGAAAGTTTAAACAGACTAATTTTCATAAAGGAAACAAAGTATCATCAAAGAACTACCCTATAAAAAAAGGCAAGGTTGGCTCTTTCACAGGGGAGTTCTACCAAACCTTCATAGACCAGTCAATCCCTACACTACCTAACGTATCCCAGAACACTGGAAAAGAAGAAACACTTCCAGATTATTTTTGTGAAGCAAATATAATATTGATCCCTGTGCTATGTTGCAAAAATGCCCCAATACTTTGCTTACCTCTTATCCACATACTTCGCCATGGAATATTGTGCTCTCCTTTTCTGACTCTGGGCTCAGTTATATGAATTTGGCCAATGGGATATTCACAAATATGATGTGAACAAGGGATTGAAAAGCCCTTATTCCACTGGGATTGCTCTCACTTTGCTCTCTGCCCTTTTCATGAATTATTTTTGCCTAAGCTAGCCTTACCAAAGCCATCTTGAATCAGCTATAGGGTAATTAACTGCCCAGCCAAGCCTGACCTAAATCTCAAGCCTACCAATTCACGTACTAAATAAAGATTTATTACTTTAAAGCATGGAGACTTCGAGTGATTTATTATACAGCAATAAATAACAGAAATTGGTGCCAAAACAAGCAAAAATATATATATGTGACATTGAAACTAGATTGTGGGTAGAGACAGGAAAAATGGTGAGAAAATTATTGAAGGCTGAAAAAATGCGAGGAAACGGAGTACCTGTGGTAACTTGGAAAACAGTGTAGCTACTGAAGGTTTGGGCTTGAGAAAAGGAATTTCTAGGCAGAATGTTGAAAATGTCAGTGATTACTCAGAAAGAACTAGCCAGATTTCAAGTAGAATTTAGAGGGACTATAAAGGTGCTAGAATCAAAAAATAACCTCATCTTCATCTCTTTAAACCAATAAAAGATTATCAAATTTAAGACATGGCTTTAAGTAAAAAAATCAAGGGCCGAAACGTACTTTGCTAAGCCCTCTGTGAGATGGCACTATCTAATGGGCCCTTCCAGTTGATTAAAACGATGTCCGGGAATTGAGATTCTTGTCCCACAGCAGCCTGATATACCTAAAGTATCAAGGATTAATCTAGAGAGATAGAGATCTGAAAAACAATTGTGAGTATGGCTTTTGCTGCATAGAGTGGATTCAAATCATA